GCCTGCGCTTCCCTTGCCTCCTCCATCCCGGGCTTATCATACATAGCCACATTCGGCCTGTACACCTCCCGCGTCTCTGCGACCGATTCCGCCATCAGCGGGTCCACGTCCACTTCCAGCTCTTTATCCTGCAGAGCGTCGGGGAAGAACAGCCGCTCGTGGTCCGCCTCCGCGAGACAGATGAGCCGGCAGCGCGCCTCGTAGAGCGCGTCGACGAGCGAGATGAAGCGGCGCGCTTGGTTCTTGGAGGAGAGCTTCAGGATGGGGAGGGCACTGATGGCGAGGGTGTGGTAGGTCGAGGCGAGGGTGAGGTAGTCGGCGGGGCCGAGGTCCTGCGCAAAACATAGTTATATGCGTATGCGGGTAGACGAAGACGGTATATCGGTGCATGGCATACCTGCTCGCACAGTTCGGAGAATGTGAATTTGCAGACGCCGTTGGATGTCCAAGGGACGTGCAGCGGTCGGCCGAAGACATACAGGGTCTCAGCCTTGGGTTCTTCCGTTCTCATAAGTGCGCGCATACACCGAGCTTGATAAACGCCCCAAACTTACCTCCGTCTCCCACCACATCCCTCACCATCCTCTCAAACACCCCCACCTCCCCCCACCTCACCCAGCTCCTCAGACCCTCCCCCCTCCCCGCCCTCTCGCTCCTCCAATCCCGCTCCCCCTCCAAGCCGAGCACGAGCACGGGACACCTCACTTTCAACGCCTCGACAAACGGCTCCAGCCTCTCTCTCTGCACGCCATTCCTGTACAGATCCTCGGGCACCTTGTTGCTCGTGCCCACAACGACGCCGCCGAGGCGCCAGAACCACGCGAGCACGTCCGCCAGGAGGCTCGCGGAGGAGACGTCGAGCAGCTGGACCTCGTCGAAGAGGAGGAGCCAGTGCGTGAGCAGGAGGCGGCGCGCGATGACGAACGGGATGGTGGGCTCGAGGGAAGAGGCAGGAAAGAGGGAGGGCCGGCGGGTCCAATAGGTGGGCAGGGAGCCGGTTTGCACTAGGGAGCGCCAGCGCTCGCGGAGGGCGCGGGTCCAGGGGACATCTGGCGGCGGCTCGCTGTCTAGGGGCTGTTGCGAGCGCACCTGGGCCATGCGCCGCTGGGTTTCCTCCCACACGCCGCGGTAAATCTCGAGGACTAGTTGGCTGTAGTGTTTGCGGGCTTTGAATGACGTGGGTATGGTAGAGAACCAGAGGTCTGCGAGGAAGGTCTTGCCGGAGCCTGGTGGACCGGTGAGAAGGAGGCCCTGTGTGCAAACCTGTAAGATGAGCTGTGATCAGGAGAGGTTGGGACAGTACCTTCGGTGTTGTGAGAGCAGCTAGCTCTTCGGCGTGGCTCCTCACCCTCGTCAGGGCTTTGCTCTCGGACGGGGCTACCTCTTCTTCTTCATCGTGTCGCTTCCACCATTCCACCGGCCCATCTCTGCTCTTCCTCTCGGCCGAAAAATAGTGCGAAGCAATCGTAGGCGGCACATAATCCGCCAGCTCCTTCTGCAGCCTCCTAAGCTGACGATCCTCCAATCAAGCTGGGATTTCCATGGTCGCATGATCAAACGTACCTGCATGACTACCCTAACCTGCTCCTCGTCGTACTTTATCTTCCCTAGCGTCACGAGTCCCCTGTACCGGTCAAGCAAGTCGACCTGCTGTGGCAGCATATTCGGCTCGGGTTCCTTGCTGTACAGCCGTCTGACTTGCGCGGATAGTCCACATTGACGCTTCAAGCATATGCGGCTGCGGCTGCATAGTTCGGAATGAAAGGCCCAGTGTTTCATGAATCAGAGTCGAAGCCTGAGCTTGAGTCTGCGCTGTATTTTTCTGCACTTCCAAACTTCCGTTAGCCCAGACTTCACACAGGACTCGAACAGTGCCTACCCCCTAGCTACAGGTAGTCCGCGGAACGCACGGAGCCACACCGATGACACTGTCAATACAAGAAGAACGCTGCTGCCAAACGATCGCTGGCCTCAATCGTATCAGTGTATCGAGATTGAGATAAGCTACTACATACCAGAAATGGTAAATCCCGATTCTCTTGGCGTGATGGAAGGGCTAATGGCCCCGCATTCGTACCATCATCGATGAAACGTGAAGCCACAACATGTGGCTGGGACAGCGTATACGTTTAGGGTGCGCGGTCTCTGACATGACCAGGTCCCATGCATATGTTTTTGCATGGAAGTACCCGACATTCTCCGTACTCCATGAAAGGATGCTTTACACACTTCCGCAGCCTGAAGGCCTGTAGATCCGTCCACATACACACGTATTTATAATGAAACAGCCGCTGAGAATTCCCTGTCAATACAACCAGCTGTAGTACCGCCTCCGGACCATACCCGCTCCTGCTCCGATACTACCGGGTGCGCACTGTAGGGTAGCTAGCAACACTGCGCAGCGTCGTGACGCCTACCACGAGTCACTACAGCCAGTACATACCTCATCAGTGCACAGCTACGAGAGCAACACTCCTTCCTTCCGGTGCAGGAGCCCGGAGGAGATAACTAAAAATCAGCGAGATCCCATTTACTCCACAGCATGCTAGAAGTCCGGATTCCGCACCACTTATGATAATTCGCTCCCGCTATTCGAGCCGCCGGGAGCCTCCAGTGAGATGAGCCAGAGAAATACTCTACCTGGAGCAGATAATCTGCAGATAAACGAGCCGCTAGGCTTCCACCGGATACCACGAATTAAATGCCGGGGACCAGGTTCACAAGCGGGTGCGGGATCGGAGAAACTTGCCCCAACAAATATACCACAAATAACCTGCGATTTTGCCACCCACTCTACGCCAGCTCCCCACACACCCGAACCGCGGGTGTAATTGCTCCCTCAATGCGCGGGAACCGGGAAACACCATGCAGTAGTCGCGCACTAACACCGACGTCCAGCACCAGAGCACCCGAGCCTTCGCGAAGAACGGTACAAGCTCCTACTGCGACAAAGAGCGGAATGAGAGACCAGGAGCCGCGTGTCGAATTTCAGGCGAGCGGGGAGAAACCACGATCCTGCAGAAGTTGTGATGCTCCGCGATTAGGAGCGGATAGGAAGCGGCATCAGCTGTGATGAAAAGAGGATTGGAGCGTTGTATTGAGGTCGTATACCTATAGCGTCAAAAACGCGAGACATAGGGCCGCGTGGTGGATTTCAGGCGAGTGGAGAGAAACAAGGATTCTGTAGAAGTTGCAAACCTCCGCGATTAGGAGCGAAGAGGAAGCCATATAACTATATCAGCTCCAAAGACTGCAGGGGATAAGAGAGTTATATTGGAGTCCTATACCCAGGTCATCGAATGAAGCCAATATCGCTGTAACGAGCCGCAGATTCAGAGATAATATTCACCGCTCGTCCTTCGAGGGGAGGAGACAAATGCGAGAGAGATAACGAGCGCGATGTTGGGCTTGCGCAGATAGCGTCATCTGGTCTTCCACATGGTTCTCGAAGAAAGACCAGATGACCAGGAGCGAAGTGCTTCTCGATATAACGCGTTGCGAGCACAAGCGACGGTACCGCCGCCTCGACAATGATCTTGTTCTAGAACGGTCCTTCGCACACGTCGTCCGGATATTGCTTTGATTGCCAGGCGATGGCCCGCCGGCCCCGCTGTCCTCGCGCTGGGAGTTTCCCAGTGATACTGAAGGCTTGGAGTGAGTGGATATCAGGGAGTTATCTTGCTGAACTTTACGCTTCCTTGTACCGCGACCCATGGGGGATCCTTATGTCAGTGGGCCACGGCCAGGTGGTACTTTACCTTCTATAAGGCGAGACAAGGCTTCGGTACAGCAGGCGCTTCGCGAAGGACGGCGACTGACGTGTCGGCTATGCCCAAGAGTTGCTCCACAATAGCTGTGTGATGTAAGCACCCTTGAAAAATTAAAGCATGGAGCGTCAGACATGATGAGACGCGCAGACGGATTCACAGCACGGGCACAGGAGACAGCGCAGCTGGGACAGTGGCAGAGAGGAGGCATAGAATGATAGATCACAGCAGCAGCACAGGCCTGCCAATCAGAGCGCGCTGTCAAAGAAGCGGCGGGCGACCGGACAAGGGAAGGGCGCCACCGCCACGAAGCAGTGACGTCACTGCTCGGCCGGCTCAGAAGCGTTCGGCGCGATGGCCGCGCCACAACCCCACAACTCCTCAGGCCGCGAGCTGTCCTCGGCGGGGCGAGTGCAGGCGTCTGTCCGACCATGCCTTTTAACTACCACCACGACCCGCGCCCCTCGCCGTCGTCCAGCTCGTCGTCGCGGCCGTCGCTCACGAGCTCCGAGTCCACCGAGCCGTCCTCGCCGGAGCTGTCCAGCCCGCTGCAGCAGCTGTCCATCGCAGACGTGGCCGTCAAGTTCAAGCAGCCGCCGTCGCACTTGCAGTTCGGAGACTCGTTTGACCTGGTAAGGGAGGAGGAAGAGCAGATGAAGCACAAGGCAGATCGCCGCGACGAGAACAGGGCAGGGCCAGATGGCGTGCATCACGGTGAGTTGGTATTTCGCGTGTTCTCGTTTGTATTTCGGGCTGCACTCGGTCCACGTAAGCGGGCTGCAGGCGATTTGTATTGCGCATTGGTATTGCGCATTGGTATTTCGCGCAAGTCTGGCAGAGCAGAGGCAGCAGCGATACGCCGTGGAGAGTCGAGGATGATCGTGGATGGCATGCAAGCCACGATATGCTCGATCTTGTCCCTGGCTGCCAGTCGTCGGGTCCCCGCTGCTGCCCCTGGCTGAATTCGGACGGCAACCACGTGGGATTAGACTCGCTTAGACTCCCAGTCCCTGTCGATCGCGTCCGGGCCGTCTAAACGGTTGTCCCAAATTGTGTTATGATATTATGCATTCGTCTAATTCCGTTCCGTTGTGTGTTGTTGCCGTGCGCGTTGCCGTCGTCGCTGCTGCCTTGGTCGTCGTCGTGCTCGCTGTTGCTGACCACTCTCTTTTTCACCAGCTGCACATCGCCCCGCCCACTCGCGCACCAGCTCCAAGACCTTTACGTCTAGAGTCGAGCGGCCGGTCCTTCCCCCGCGCCAGATATCCTTCTCGAAACGTCACGCATCCTTCGACTCGCCTGCCGAAATCCCTTTCCCGACCCCCTTATATCATCCCCAACGCACGCCATCAATTCCCCCGGCCACGCATTCACGCACATCATCGCGTGTCGTGAGCTCTGCTGAACACCCCGGCTCTCCTATTGCGGCTTCTTCGACAGCGAGTGCATCGGTGAGTGCTTGCGCTGTGACATCCCGCGTCACACGTGGATCGTCGATCGATAAACCTAATGACTTTGTGTCTCCGAAACAGAACCCTCTTTCCTACAGATCCGGTGCCCAGCGTGATTCCTATTTCCCGCTCGGTCTGGTCGATGGCTCTCTGAGCGACAGTAGTAGTAGCAGCAGCAGCAGCAACTCGAGCAGCAGCACGACCAGCCTCCCGAGCGCACCGGCCCCGCCCAAGCACCTCCGCCCGCCCCTGAAGACCTCCGACTCGAACGCCTCTGCGGAAATGATGACGGCGCCGAGCCATCCCCCGAGCGTCGCTGGCAAGGGCCGCGACCAGGGCGAGTACTTTGCGCAGCCGCCCGCGGTCCACGTCGAGGACCCCTTGCAGCCGAAGCAGTCCACCTCCGCGCCCTCGTCGGCGCCCATCACCCCGTTCTCCAGGCCGTACTCCACGTCGAATGTCACTGATGCCTACGGCGGCAAGATCTACAGCCCGACGCCGCTGAAACCGTGGGATCGGAGCTCGACCGCGAGCCTGCCCCTCCCGTCGCAAACGCCGTTCTTTACCCTCCCGACCGTCGAGCAAGTCGGCGACGTAAGGGAGGAGCCCGAGCCCAGGACAGAGGACACGCGAGCGGCCTCGCCGCCCATGTTCGACTCCACCTCCGCATCACCTTCGCCCTCGCCATCTCCTGCGCCAGCGCCTCCCGCCTTGATGAGGGCGTCCACGTCCGCGTCCGTCGCCTCCGCCCCTGCGATGCCGACTGCCCGCTCCGCCGTGTCCCCGGCTACGTTGCCCCGAGCGGCGGGCACGCCGCTGTCCGTCGCCTCTAGCTCGTCTATACCCCCTCCCGCGCCGCCGACGATACTCACCCCGCCTCCGCCGCCATTAAGCCCCGAGTCCATGGACAGCACGTCCAGGCGACCAGCGCCGTATGAGCCGTTCTTATCGCATGCCCCGCCGCCGGGAGATAGCTGGATCGCTGTTGAGACCTCGCAGCGGGAGTACCGCTTGATTGTGAGATTGCCTGGGTTTAGGCGGGACGGGATGTGAGTGCCTTCATACTTGTGCTGGGAAATCTGTATATTGAATTGTTTATAGTACCCTCGCGACGCGCCGGAGACGTATACTGCACATCGTCGCGGACTCTTGGGAGCCCGGCGGCGGGCATTTCGAGCGGCGCATCTCATTTGGCTACGACGCGGACCTGGCTCACGTGCGTGCCGAGTTCGACGGGGACATCCTGAAGGTGCACGTTCCGAGGCGACCGCCATCCAGCTGGATGATTGCGCTCGGGCGCGACTGATCTTGTCCTCGCCCCGTGGTGGTAGTGGTGTTCCTGGCATGCCTCCAGCTTTCGATGTAGATATCTCGGTTCACCGCACTTGCTTGCTTACTGTGTCCATAAACCCTTCCTTCCTCCATTCCGCAGCCCTTCATTCCGCTCCTGCTATTATTGGCCCGCCACAACGACTCTGTGATGCATGCTTTCTGGGTTACCATTCCAGTCGCCCTTATTCACCGACGTCACCGGGTCTCGCATCACCGACTCACCTCGTTCCGTTCTCGCACGCATATCAACTCAACCACGCTTGTATCCTGCAATGAATTGGCCTTGGGGCCACCCATATTGTTACCCTCCCAACGATACCAGCCTCCGCTCTCAGGATATACCTTGTTTGTGGATTAATTCTCCTCAATGCTGCACTTTCCTTTGCCTCCACAAACCCCCTCCCATCGCCCGATTATCATTATCGGACAGGACTCGGATTCCGGAAGCTCGGTTCGGAGAGATGAACCTGCTTACGCTTGGTTACGCTTTCTAATGTGCCTGTCCGCCTCCCCCCCCTCTGCCTAGTACATACACTTATACATACATACATGTTACTCGCCATTATATTGATAGTGCTTACCTAGGCAGACTCGCCCCGCTATTTACACTGGATGCCTTCACGCGCTTCTTCCTGCCAGTCCTGTTTTGTTCTACCACTGTATAATTCATCCCATCGTTTGTCGACAAAAATTATCTTACTCCACCTACCCGTTCTCGGCTATTTATTATATGACAATGCTGCAGCTGTATATACAGGTCGTCCAATAGACAGGCAAATGACACATATATATATACATACATAAACATTATGATACGCGCGGGATACAGCTCGTCGGTTGACGTACAGAAAGCAGACAGCTAGGCACTCTAATTGTAGTAAAAGGGAAGTCGTGGTCATCTCGTTGCGCCCCTGTTGGCCAGCGTCGAGAGCCTCACGCCGTCCTCGCCGTCGGCCAGATCCCATCCCTCCTCGTCCAAAGCTCCCAGGCCGCGCGGCGGCGCCGTCGGTCGTCTATTGACCCGTACGGGCCGCTGCTGAGCCCTCTCCGCATCCGCTTCGACGACAGTCACCTCAACGTGCGCGGTGCCATTCTCCCCGTCGTCCTTCAAGGGAAGGGACATCTGCGACGGCGCCTTGACGAGCCCACTCGACACGCCGAGCGAGAGCAGCTCGCCGCGCGTGGAGAGGTAGAGGATGATGTTGACGAGCCCGCTGGAGCGGTAGAGGAACTCGGTGAAGAAGGTCGCGGCGGAGGGCGTGGCGACGGTCGAGTCGTGATTCTCGCGATAGAACTGGACCCAGCGGGCGATACACGTCGGGAGCACCGTCAAGCAATATACTGCAGGATATCTACAGGGCGGGCTCTCGATCAGTCCCGGGACATGCATCGAGAGTATGGATCGTTGACTCACGCTAACATGACGAGCGGGTGGGCATCGGGAGCGGTGTCGTCCCCGTCCCGCTTGCGCCGGTGGACATCGAACTTCCACCATACCTTCTCGTCGACGGTGATGTTGCGTCGGTATAAGAAGTACAGCGGGACGTATAGGCTGATTGAGGCGCTCATTGTAAGCCACATCCAGAAGTATTCCCCGGCGATACGTTCCTTCCCGTACGCGCCGCCTATCCAGCACCAGTACTGATGACTGTTAGCACAGGAGGTTCAGTAAGAGTACGTCGCACATACGGGTGTGGGTAAGTCGTAGTACTTCGAAGAGGGATGCGTGTGGATGCCAACGCTGATCCCGACGAAGAGGACGATGAACAGGAATATTGACCCAGTGACCAGGTAGGAAACAAGCGCATCGTGCGAGCCCTTGCTCCACCACACGCCCCAGAAGGTCTGCAGTGTGATGACGAGTGTGAACAACGCAACGCCCGTTTCACCAATTTGCTGAATGGCGCCTGTACGGAGCATCAAACCTTAGCCATACTTCGAGGGTCTATTCATGTTTGCTTTGAATTTACCTTGAAATGTACAGAACCCTCCGGTGTAGACTTTGCCTTCGGTAACCCATTTGGCGTTGATCATGCCCCCGACCGCTTGTATAAGATCACAGACGAACAAGCACAGCTGGGATTGGGTGAGTGACAGCCGTCCAAATTTGAATAGAATTGAAAATTACCACATAGAGGTCCACTGGCTTCTGTACAAGCTGCCAATTGCGCCCTCGGGAGCGCCATGCATTACGCTGTGTATCGTATACCCCACACAGTCAGATATCGCAGCTATTAGCTATCAATAAAGATTGGCTTACGCAAATGAGAAGAAATAAGACAAGCACGGCTATCACCGAGAGAACGCCAGCTTGAACGCTGAACTAGAAGGTTTGGGGCATGGGGAGAAGTCCAAGGTGTAGATGCGACGAGCGCTCACAGCAAGTCCGATGCTTTGCCCGCGCGTCAGGCAGTATAACGCGGGGCCGACGCGATTTGGGTCCATGAGCGTCACACTCGACTGCTGATATTCGTCCGTTGTACATATGATACCGTCTGGAAGAATGTTATTCGACATTGTTGAGGTGCTCTGTCCGCCGTCTACTTGGTGTGGGTGTCAAGACATGGGAGTGCCCTCGCAGAACAGCCTGAGAGCTCCTTGATAGCGACCTCGCAACCAAGGAGCATCGGAACCGCAGCATGGTGTCGTTGTTAGAGTTCAGTCGGGCAAGGCTGTTCATTAAACGCTGGATCATCGTCTAAAGGCAGCGGCGGTGCGCTCTGAGTCTGACTCTGAGGCTAAGATATACCTGCAAATTCACGTGAGTCCTTACTTGCGGACGCACTTGGTCCTCGTCTCCTGTCAGTCTCTCGTGAAATAGCAATACCGGGACGAGATCAACAGATTGCACAGCGTTTGAACCTGTGTCGATTCGATACGGGAGCGATCACATCTCGGGGTTCGTAAGGCGCTCAACCTCATGTGCCTTAATTGTACCTGTCAGTATTAATATTGGAATACGTCCATGTTGGCTCATAAATCCCTTCGCCAATATGCAAATTGAGGATAGAATCTAGTGAGAGACTATTCTCGATGGTGGTACTGCCGCACGACAGAGTTGCCACGGGCGTAACGCCCTGGGTCATGGCCATATTGCTGCAAACGGGACCGTTAAGATGCTGCCGCTCTCCTTGCTATGCACTCCGATGTTTCTCCTTCACTGTACCTCGGGATGTTCGAATCATGACGCCCGACCGCCCAAGCTGACAGATGCACATCTGCGCCACTGACTCGGAGCGCTGGACTTGAGGCGTAACTAGCACAGTGAACACCTTGTTCTAGCCCACTGCTATGCAGCGATTGACGCCAGTCACTCGTACTAAGAAGCGCTGCTATCAGTACAAAGGTATTCCTATATAAGACCTTCACTCTGCGGGTATAGAACGCTCACCCCACTTTCGCTTCTGGTCGTGACGAACCTTTATGCCGACATGAATATCGGTAGTATCACAGCATCCGGCCTTACTACGAATGCAAGCTTAAGCAATGACCCCTACGGAAACTTTTCTATCACGGGCTTCAACGGCACTAGATGCTGGTGGCAAGACTTCGACAATTCTATCTATAATGGGAGTAACAATCCCCATCCCCCGATTCACTGTCTGTCCTCGGGCGACCAGCTCGGCTTAATGGTGAAACTCCACGACTCGCACTCATCCGACGATTCTAATCCCTAATACTCTAGTTGGATGTCGAAGCCGGGCTGATATCTGGAGTCGCCGTTTTGTTAGCGTCTCTCCTGATCCTGGTGAGCACCGTGGCGTCCAGTCTGCAGATAGGTGCCTGATCATGGAGCAGCGCAACCTCTGGCGATATCTCAGTTCGGCTGAGAGACAGCGCGTAGGCTTTATCCAAGAAGCAGCGGATATTTACGTGGTGAGCTCACACTGGCTTTTGTTCCTGTCAAATAGCACTCATGCTACCCGGGGGCTAGCTCTTATTATTCTTCTTCGAGATTTTCCAAGCACTTGGCGGTATCACAAGTATCGAGTGGTTAAGAACGGGAATCGTCCGCAGCGGGGGCTACTGCACTGCGCAGGGTAGGTTCTCCTCTCGGATTTCGAGCGTACAGAGACCCACGTGTAGCGCAGGAATCCTCCAGGAGTTCGGAGAAATGGGCGTGGCAGCGGCAACTTTGGTAAATCATCTCTTTTAGCGGTTTCCGCTCTACCATTCTGACATAGTGTGCGTTTCGAGGCTATCGCCCTCCACACTTTCCGCGTACTGGCTTGGGGTCGCTTTACCTACGATCACTTGGTAGCCTACATAGTGGTCTGCGTCATTATAGTCTACGACGCCCTGTTCGTCGGCCTATCCACCGGGATCAACGCAAGCGAGGGGAAGGACTATATCCTACCTGATCCAGTGAGTTTCTCGATTTTGAATATATACAGATCCATCTCAGTATTTTAGTTCTGGTGCTGGGTAGGCGATGCATATAAGAAGCAGCGTATTCTGGGGGAGTACCTCTGGATATGGTTCGCATTGGTCGGATCTATTGTACTATACCCGCCGTTATACTTCCTCCTGAGGGGCGACATTTCGTTCGATCCCAACAGCTGGTATCGCATCCGCATCCATAGACGTGGCAAGGGCAGCGCAGACGCGACGCAAGGAATCAACCCCTTATCACTGAGAGGAATGCTAGCGTGAGCAGGCATCTACGATCTTCCTATCGTTGTTACTGAAACAGATATACGCAGATATCCCGCTGTCTATGCGTTCACGGTGCTCCCGCTCAGCGTGACCCGTTGGACTACGTTCCACTTGAAAGGCGCCGCATCGTTCTCTCCGAATGCGGCGCTCACCGGGGGCACCTTCTTCGCCGAGACACTGTTCCGCCTCAGCGGCGTCTTCAACGTCATCCTGTTGCTGCTGATTAGACCGCAGCTGCTGTCCTTCCGCCGCGCTGCGGGGGCACAGGCGCCGTCGCTTGACAGTTTGGATGAAGCCACTGGTAATGGCGGCGGCGATCCAGCTGAGCATAGACCATCGCTGTCTGAGAGGGGGCATTCGATTGGTATGCAAGAGATGCACTCTGGTAATGGGCGGGGCCCGCCGAATGGCCTTGCTGCATTAGAGGAGCACGGCGGCTGGGATCTCGAACACAACGACGACTCCCAGAGCTTGCAGGGTCCAGACGGTGTCAGATCTTGAGCGAGTATGGATAGCGTTGTCTTTACATATGGCATATCTCGGTGCCTTGGTGGTCAGCCGTCTTGTCATGTTCGTAGTTTATACCCCTGTGGATCGCATTGAACACGTCATTAATGACATAGACCGTCAGTTTAATGTACGGATGAAGTTCTGAGTGAGCAAAACGGCAATTCACATCGCATTGCCCACGATCCAGTAGATTTTTGTTTTTAGGAAGCAAAAGAGTCAAAATATTGAGCTCCGTAGAGCTGCCACTCTGGTTAAGCGTGTCATCCTTGTGCAGGGGCCATGCTAATCTTCTCTGTATCGTTCCAATTTTTTCGTATGTCACCCCGAAGGGGACACTAAACAAGGCTCGGGATGTGGCTCCACCCGCGTACACAACGCATTTGGTTCTGATGGCGGGTGCCGCGCGAACCGCGTCCGACTCGTCGCCTTGTACCTGAGGCTCACCGATGCCATCAACTGCGGACCCCGGGTGGTGGAAGAGGCAACGAACAATCGTGTTATCGGTTCTCCCACCCGAGTTTTGGATTGAAATATTCGAGTTCGCGACCGGAGCCTTACAATGCCAGTCATACAACCCCTTCGAAACCATTGTTCCTCTTCCGGAACGAGAAGAACTTCGTGCTCTTAAGATTGCCTACAGAACAAAGCAATCTCTGGACCTCGTATGCAAACGTTGGCGAGAGCTCGCCATACCGATCCTATTCTCGCGGATCACACCAGGGGCGTCGAATGCTTGCACCGAACCCTTGTATCCGACTTCCAATCCAGTGATGTTGTCCCCTCTTTTCGTGCATGTGTTCGTAGACTGGTCTGCATCACTTCAAGCGCGGGCGTGCCGTTTGACCTACTTGCAAAAATCATCCGCTCGATCCCTACCCTTGTCATATTCAATGTATGGCCAGCCAAGAACCTCCGAATAAATCTCTCCATAACAGACAACATACGGGGGTCCCTGGCAATACTGAGAGAGTCCCTTCGCGTCCTTGACTGGGCTCCCGGTGGTGGTGCGGGTGCTCTATATCAGTGGAGGGAAACGGTATCGTCCCTGCCTGGTTTGAGGATTCTTACGTATACGCATAATGTGGCGTTACCACACAGCACATCCTTTACACCAGTAACGCTCCCGAACCTGATCTATTCATCCTGGAACTGCACCAGCCTCAGCCGTGTCCGCAATAGTGGTCGGCTGTCAGCTGAAGATGATTTGAGGGCACTTCGAGCGCTCAAATTTTGCAGACATTTGCATCTGGTGCCTCCTCATATCGGTCATAACATTACTCTGCTCTCGGTGCCTGTGTCCCCTCGCAGTATTCGAGGACAGATCCCCGAACTGCTTGCGATGCTGCCCAACCTAGTCCACATCGTCCTATGGGCGGCCGACTGGCCCATTATTCCGCAGGCCTTCCCTCTCCCAAAAATCCAGAAGTTGGGGCTTGGCCGGTTCACGTGAAAATAGGGACTATACAGTCCTCTTCGATAACTTATTTTCCATCGATGCGCCCCAACTCCAAGTCGTTAGGTTTGTTGACTGGGACGAATGGTCGGCCCTTTTGCATCGGCGGCCACCAGTATTGGCACCGTTTTGAGAGTTGGCACCGTCTTGCGCATTCAGGGTGGAAGACAGGGAGGGTAGGCTTTTGACTGACTTGTGGGGGATCAACTAGGTAATGGTGGGACTCCACCTTCTGCTCTGTCCCCGGGGTGTAATGATATCGCTGGCATGGGTGCGCGCTTCACTAGTCTCTGGAGCCCATAGACAACGTCATGTTCCTCTATATAATGGTCAACTTTGTCATACCTTCCCCAGCCTTACCAACATTGAAGCAGGCAATGAAGTTCGGAGACCTCAGGGGGTAGTAGCACACGCAGAACATGCCCTGGCCGTTGTGACTCGGTGAAACCGGGATGGACATGGCCCCAAAGTATTATCCCGGTTGCGAGTTCTCGACGGGTTTGTGAGGCCTCACCTCACCTGAGCATTCACCGCGAGCATGATATGCTCGCAATATCTGTACCTTACACCTAATATGACCGTGACATTATTCCAGGTCGAGTATCGTAGGGCGCTGCGTTCGAGTGTTTAGCCCGACTTCATGGCCTATATCTTGTCCACATATGCCACTATTCTTTGAACAGGCTCCCATGCCACGAGCTTTGCAGTGGATATACCTCAGAAGGCCGTCTTGTCAATGTTAATCCCGCTGGTACCCCTCTAACGTGATATATCATACCATTTTGGCTGCTTCATGCGGGAGTCGGGATTTACCATTTCTGGTAGTAGCTTATCTCGATCTCGATATGAGCGATCGATCGGCAGCGTCGTTCCTCTCCATTGACAGTGTCATGACATCGGTGTGGCTCCGTGCGTTCCGCGGACTATCTAGGAGACTAGGGGGTAAGCCTTAGGTATCGTTCGAGTCCTGTGTGAAGTCTAAGTAATGCTAACGAGAGTTTCAAGACGCAAGAACTGTAACTCCTCAGCTGCGCAAAATCTTATTCATGAAACACTGGGCCTTTCATTCCTAACTATGCAGCCGCAGCCGCATATGCTTGAAGCGTCAATGTGGACTATCCGCGCAAGTCAGACGGCTGTACAGCACGGAACCCGAGCCGAATATGCTGCCACAGCAGGTCGACTTGCTTGACCGGTACAGGGGACTCGTGACGCTAGGGAAGATAAAGTACGACGAGGAGCAGGTTAGGGTAGTCATGCAGGTACGTTTGATCATGCGACCATGGAAATCCCAGCTTGATTGGAGGATCGTCAGCTTAGGAGGCTGCAGAAGGAGCTGGCGGATTATGTGCCGCCTACGATTGCTTCGCACTATTTTTCGGCTGAGAGGAAGAGCAGAGGTGGGCCGGTGGAATGGTGGAAGCGACACGATGAAGAAGAAGAGGTAGTCCTGTCCGAGAGCAAAGCCCTGACGACGGTGAGGAGCCACGCTGAAGAGCTAGCTGCTCTCACGACACCGAAGGTACTGTCCCAACCTCTCCTGATCACAGCTCATCTTACAGGTTTGTACACAGGGCCTCCTTCTCACCGGTCCACCAGGCTCCGGCAAGACCTTCCTCGCAGACCTCTGGTTCTCTACCATACCCACGTCATTCAAAGCCCGCAAACACTACAGTCAACTAGTCCTCGAGATTTACCGCGGCGTGTGGGAGGAAACCCAGCGGCGCATGGCCCAGGTGCGCTCGCAACAGCCCCTAGACAGCGAGCCGCCGCCAGATGTCCCCTGGACCCGCGCCCTCCGCGAGCGCTGGCGCTCCCTAGTGCAAACCGGCTCCCTGCCCACCTATTGGACCCGCCGGCCCTCCCTCTTTTCTGCCTCTTCCCTCGAGCCCACCATCCCGTTCGTCATCGCCCGCCGCCTCCTGCTCACGCACTGGCTCCTCCTCTTCGACGAGGTCCAGCTGCTCGATGTCTCCTCCGCGAGTCTCCTGGCGGACGTGCTCGCGTGGTTCTGGCGCCTCGGCGGCGTCGTTGTGGGCACGAGCAACAAGGTGCCCGAGGATCTGTACAGGAATGGCGTGCAGAGAGAGAGGCTGGAGCCGTTTGTCGAGGCGTTGAAAGTGAGGTGTCCCGTGCTCGTGCTCGGCTTGGAGGGGGAGCGGGATTGGAGGAGCGAGAGGGCGGGGAGGGGGGAGGGTCTAAGGAGCTGGGTGAGGTGGGGGGAGGAGGGGGTGTTTGAGAGGATGGTGAGGGATGTGGTGGGAGACGGAGGTAGGTTTGGGGCATTTATCAAGCTCGGTATATGCGCGCACTTATGAGAACGGAAGAACCCAAGGCTGAGACCCTGTACGTCTTCGGCCGACCGCTGCACGTCCCTTGGACATCCAACGGCGTCTGCAAATTCACATTCTCCGAACTGTGCGAGCAGGTATGCCATGCACCGATATACCGTCTTCGTCTACCCGCATACGCATATAACTATGTTTTGCGCAGGACCTCGGCCCCGCCGACTACCTCACCCTCGCCTCGACCTACCACACCCTCGCCATCAGTGCCCTCCCCATCCTGAAGCTCTCCTCCAAGAACCAAGCGCGCCGCTTCATCTCGCTCGTCGACGCGCTCTACGAGGCGCGCTGCCGGCTTATCTGCCTCGCGGAGGCGGACCACGAGCGGCTGTTCTTCCCCGACGCTCTGCAGGATAAAGAGCTGGAAGTGGACGTGGACCCGCTGATGGCGGAATCGGTCGCAGAGACGCGGGAGGTGTACAGGCCGAATGTGGCTATGTATGATAAGCCCGGGATGGAGGAGGCAAGGGAAGCGCAGGCGCCCGGGACGCCGCTGGCTTTGGACAAGCTGTCGATTTTCTCGGGTGCGTTGTTCCTTTCTCACTTACTTGCTTACGGTCGGTAGTGATTTCTTCGGCATAGGCCAGGACGAGCAGTTTGCGTACAGACGCGCGTTGTCGCGCCTGGTCGAGATGACGAGCGCGAGCTACGCGCGCGAGGAGCGGTGGGCGCCGCTGCCGCTGAGCGCCCGGAAATGGGAAGACACCGCCGCTGGACCAGATAATCGCGCTTCGGTGGGCACCCGGGCTTCACCCCGACCGTCCCTACACGTTCAGGACGACTTTGCCGGTGAAGCGGCATATGAGCGGACAATGGCGATGCGGGAGCGCCCAAGTGCGCCGCGGATGAAGGAGGAGCATGTGTGGG